CTATAGGCTTAACTTTTCGTCCATTTTTTGCGACTTTTTTCATTTTTCATAAATGGCAAAAAAACCCAGCAAAAAGTAAGCCTATACCCCTTAACTTTTCGTCCATTTGACTTTTTTCATTTTTCATAAATGGCTAAAAAACAGCAAAAAAGTAAGGCTATAGCCTTAACTTTTCGTCATTTTAGCGACTTTTTTCATTTGTCATAAATGGCCAAAAAACAGAAAAAAAGTAAGGCTATAACCTTAACTTTTCGTCCATTTTTTGCGACTTTTTTCATTTTTCATAAATGGCAAAAAAAAACAGCAAAAAAGTAAGGCTATAGGCTTAACTTTTCGTCCATTTTTTGCGACTTTTTTCATTTTTCATAAATGGCAAAAAAAACAGCAAAAAGTAAGCCTATACCCTTAACTTTTCGTCCATTTTCAGTGACTTTTTTCATTTTTCATAAATGGCTAAAAAACAGCAAAAAAGTAAGCCTATAGCCTTAACTTTTCGTCGAATTTTAGCGACTTTTTTCGTTTTCCATAAATGGCAAAAAAAACAGCAAAAAAGTAAGGCTATAGCCTTAACTTTTCTTCCATTTTTAGCGACTTTTTTCATTTTCCATAAATGGCAAAAAAACAGCAAAAAAGTAAGGCTATAGCCTCGTCTCCATTTTTTGCGACTTTTTTCATTTTTCATAAATGGCAAAAAAACAGCAAAAAAGTAAGGCTATAGTCGTCCTTTTTTGCGACTTTTTTCATTTTTCATAAATGGCCAAAAAACAGAAAAAAAGTAAGGCTATACTTGACTTTCGTCCATTTTTTGCGACTTTTTCATTTTTCATAAATAGCCAAAAAACAAAAAAGTAAGCCTATACCCTTAACTTTTCGTCCATTTTGACTTTTTTCATTTTTCATAAATGGCAAAAAAACAGCAAAAAAGTAAGGCGATAGCTATAGCCTCGTCCATTTTTTGCGACTTTTTCATTTTTCATAAATGGCAAAAAAACAGCAAAAAAGTAAGGCTATAGGCTTAACTTTTCGTCCATTTTTTGCGACTTTTTCATTTTTAATAAATGGCAAAAAAACAGCAAAAAAGTAAGGCTATAGGCTTAACTTTTCGTCCATTTTTTGCGACTTTTTTCATTTTTCATAAATGGCAAAAAAACCCAGCAAAAAGTAAGCCTATACCTTAACTTTTCGTCCATTTTCAGTGACTTTTTTCATTTTTCATAAATGGCAAAAAAACAGCAAAAAAGTAAGGCTATACCCTTAACTTTTCGTCCATTTTCAGTGACTTTTTTCATTTTTCATAAATGGCTAAAAAACAGCAAAAAAGTAAGGCTATAGCCTTAACTTTTCGTCCATTTTTAGCGACTTTTTTCATTTTTCATAAATGGCAAAAAAACAGCAAAAAAGTAAGGCTATAGCCTTAACTTTTCGTCCATTTTTTGCGACTTTTTCATTTTTAATAAATGGCAAAAAAACAGCAAAAAAGTAAGGCTATAGGCTTAACTTTTCGTCCATTTTTTGCGACTTTTTTCATTTTTCATAAATGGCCAAAAAACAGCAAAAAAGTAAGCCTATAGCCTTTACTTTTCTTCCATTTTTAGCGACTTTTTCCATTTTCCATAAATGGCCAAAAAACAGCAAAAAAGTAAGGCTATAGGCGAAAAACAGCAAAAAAGGGGCGAGGAACCTTGTCCTCAGCGCGAGGAACCTTGACTCAGCGTCGGGAACCTTGTCTTCAGCGTTTTCGCTCATTTTAGCCAATTTTTTATTTGTGAAAAAGGTTTATGAGCGGTTGTATGAGCCTTAATTTTTTGTCAAGAAAATATTAAGATCTTTACGTTTTCATCATTATTTTGCGTGCCAAAAAGTAGAGGTTGAGGCCTTTAATTTTTGGCAACAAATTTTTTTTAACTATAATTTGGTGATGAGAGATTATGTAGAAATAAGTATAAGTATTAGGACTGAATAGATCTACTAGTCGAGTGGTAGTCTCCTGGTTTTGTATGAGGGAGAACTAAGGATCGCGCCCGGTTGATGCCAGAACCATTTTAATCTCAGGTGTTGTTAATTAATTCTACCGAGATGAGAAAAGAGTTAAGTAGAATAAAAAAGAACTTAATTTACCTGTAGAAGAGATGGTCTAGTGGTAAAGACGAAGTGTTGCAAGTGCGAGAAGCAAGGCTCGATTCCTGGTTGTGTCAAGAGCATTTTAATGTCACGCGTCGTTGTTAATTAATTCCACCCGAGACGAGAAAAGGTTAAGTAGAAAAGAAAAGAATTTAATTCACTGTAGAAGGGATGGTCTAGTGGTAAAGACTAGTAAGGACAAAGTGTTGCAAGTAGGTGAAGCCCGGTTCGATTCCTGGTTGTGTCAAGAGCATTTTAATCTCAGACGTCGTTGTTAATTAATTCGACCCGAGACGAGAAAGAGTTAAGTAGAATAAAAAAGAACTTAAGTTAGTTGTAGCAGAGAAGGTCTAGTGGTAAAGACGAAATGTTGCAAGTGCGTGAAGCTAGGCTCGATTCCTGGTTGTGTCAAGAGTATTTTAATGTCAGGCGTCGTTGTTAATTAATTCCACCCGAGGACGAGAAAGAGTTAAGTAGAATAAAAAAGAACTTAATTCCGCTGTAGAAGAGATGGTCTAGTGGTAAAGACTAAGTGGTGCAAGTGCGTGAAGGTAGGCTCGATTCCTGGTTGTGTCAAAAAGCATTTTGGGCCTCAACAAGGGTATAATTAATTATAAGGTCGATGAGAAAATGCTTAAGTACAATAAAAAACATAACCATTTCACCAATAGTCCTAATGGTCTAGAGGTACCTGCAAGTAGGCGATCAACTGGTGCGGATCGTAGCGGGGAAACAGTAGGCGCCTTTCTGCAGCGCCGAATTTCCAGAGGTTAATACTGAGGAAGTGCTAGCAAGACACGGCACAACACACTTATCCCGCCAACCCATACATTTTTTAAAAATAAAAAAACCCTTGTCTTGGGTTACCTGTGCCCCATCTTGGGCTACCTGTATCCACGGCACAATAACCCAAGACTTTTCATTTTCTATACATTTCCTCGATCATAAAGCGGCCGAGGACACAGGTAGCCCAAGACAGGGCACAGTAACCCAAGACGTTTGTTTTTCTATTTTTCAACTGAGGACCACGTCCTCATTGGAACCACGTCCTCAATTGAAAAATAGAAAAACAAACGTCTTGGGTTACCTGTGCCCTGTCTTGGGCTACCTGTGTCCTCGGCACAGGTAACCCAAGACGTTTGTTTTTCTATTTTTCTCCCTTGTCCTCCGTTAGTAAGGAACCTTGTCCTCAGTTAGTGAGGAACCTTGTCCTCAGTGAGGAACCTTGTCCTCAGTTAGTGGGGAATCTTGTCTTCAGTTGAAAAATAGAAAAACAAACGTCTTGGGTTACCTGTGCCCTGTCTTGGGCTACCTGTGTCCTTGGCACAGGTAGCCCAAGACGTTTGTTTTTCTATTTTTCAACTGAGGACCACGTCCTCATTGGAACCACGTCCTCATTGGAACCACGTCCTCAGTTGAAAAATAGAAAAACAAACGTCTTGGGTTAC